AGAACTTTCAAAGAATCAGAACAACTATACTTTTGATATGATTAGTTTTATAAGTTGTATTATAGTTTACTACATACTTACTATATTATACAAATAGGTGAGTAAGAAGTATGATCAGAGGATGCATAGGTCCTCTGATAAAAAAATGGATTTACAATATTGAAAAATGTATAATAAAACATTGTGTAAATGTTGTGGGAGTTGGTAAATCAATTCAGTATTCATATAAAATATTAGTAATATGCGTAAAAAAATGTGAGATGAATTTTATACGGCCAAAAAAATATGAACACAAATGTTAATTTCCTTTTACCATCCGTGTGTACTGCACAAAAGCGGATGTAATCCACTCTCACAGGCTGAACCCGTACGAGATTTTAAAAGATTTCTAAGCACCACTCCGAAACAGTATGGCAGAATACATCATTCAACAACGGAAAACCTAAGGGTCTAAAGGGTCTCTTTCATTCGTTCGAATAGAGTAATTACATCAAGAGAGGTTTTTCTGTGAAAAGTCTAATTTCAGCGAATGAAAATACTCAGAAAGGCCCCTTACCGTCCATTTGTGGCTCCTAAGTCAACATTTTTAATCAGATCTTTATATTTTCTTGTGGTATATTTTCACTAGATGTACACTTACTGAAAAAACCGGGGAATTACTAAATTTAGAATTTTACATAAAATTAAAAAGTTTAGGATACTTTTCTTACTTTAGGTATTCTTGAAATAAAGTCAAAATATCTTTATTCTTACAGACACTTAGATTAAGTTATACTTACGGTTAGTTCTGGATGTATTTTGTGTCGAGTAAAACCAACGAGAAACTCTGCTCTTAATCGTTTCAAATAAAATTATACGTAAGTTATACTTAAATTATTATATTCGTATATGCTAAGCCAGTATGTCTAGTGGAAGAAGAAAACATATATATAGGTCCTGCGCCATTCCTAAATATTGCAATAAAGGCATGAGTAAGCTACTGTAACTGGCTGTAATTTACAGTTCGTAAAAATAGTATAGTATCCACAATATCTATAATATCACATTGAAAGTCAAAAGTTTCATAACTTTAAACATATCCACATATTAGCTACTAAAAATATATACTACTTGTATTAAAAAGCAAAAATATCCTATAGCAACATAACTCAAATATTTGATAAACGAAATCATAAGTAGAAACTAGTAGAGGATATATTTTTGGTGAATTATATCCGTGGCTATTGAAACGTCCCACTCCAAGTAAATACTAGAAGCGATCACATATTAAAATATATTCAGAGAAATATAGTGAAATCCTTTATCATCCCCGATAAGTCCAATATTTAAGGGACAATGATAATTGTGCAGTGTACCCTAACGGAAGGCCCAACAATGAACCACAAGCTGACTATCTAGTATGAAAGCGGATAAGATGCTTCACTACTTCAGTAATATTTGAAGTGTAGAATATTGGTCTTGGAAAGAGAGATTCATTGCTAGTCTTGCGAGAGAATCACATAAACTAATAATCAGAATAAGGATATCACTAGGGTCCATACAGGCTTCGTCATCTTGTCGTGAACTAAGCTTATTCCAAAATGGCTACTTTACATACATAAATATATTATATTTATTGTAAATATTTTTATGTCAGATAAGCAAACGTATTCTCCTGAAGGAAAGTCGTAATTGCGATAAATCTATTTTCAGTATTTTTCGGAAAGGTTCAATTATAGAGACATTGTGTAGGAAGCATTATGGGTAATTTTAATGAAAACTTAAACAATTACAATATGTTTCGAATAAGATTAAATTTGAATGACTCTCTAAAATGATTGTATAAAGATTTTGGACAATAATAGGAAACAATAAGTAAGAAATTTTTGCCACTTACAAATTACAGAGGTTTCCAATATATAAGAATAATTAAAAATAATTTTTCTTTTCTTCTGAGAAATTATAATATTTTCTTGTAGAATTGGTAATAAAATCAGACATTAAATAGAAATTGAGGAAAATGGACATTTTTAATATTTTACTAATATATTTAAATTAACGTCTTGTACATTGTAACTTATTGCATTTGTAAAATTCGAAATTCATTCAAAAGTTCACTATTTGCGATATCTTTCGGTAGATTAAATTACAGTACATTCCTGCATTATATCGAAAATATTTCACATCAACCGATGCCTTTGCATTATGCTAATAAATCGTAATATTTATTTATGAAAGATCATAATGTAAAAGCTCAAAAGCTGAATGGAATTTTTAATATATACCTTTTACAACAAGCGATAATGAAATGGACGAGATCCGAAAGTTTACGATATGATTCAGCAATAAAATTAAACATATTAAATTGGATAATAGTGGATTTACTGTATATCTATAATATATAATTTATAATAAAAGTACAATTATGTGTATTGATTCGCTCGAGCTTTACTTCTGCTAGTGTCAAGTTCGATTCCAGGTAGAATCAAACATTTGTATTCATAACTATTATTTTTTTAACGGTCTTATCTATATCGTCATCATCATCACCTGCTTCTCCATTAACCCTTATATTTGGGATTGACGTAATATATGTTGCTACCTATCTATATATCTATATTGAATGTACTTAGTTATTGCTTAGCTTGAAACACAAGCTCTGTTTAGCTTGGGATTAGAAGATGCTGTGTGAATTATCCTAGTTTTTACACCATTATAATTATAATTTATTTATTACAATTATGGACTAGTGCTATAATTGTAAATACTGTTATTATAGAAAATATATTTTTTATGTAATATATACAGTTGTAAACAACAAAACGAAAAACATGTTTATTATTATTACACTTAATAATAATTTTATATTTCTATTGAAAGTAATGTATGTACGATTTCAACAATTAAATCAACACAACCACTTTTTTTATACATATTAGGCATGCCTTAGTTTATAATTGATAGTTTATTTAAAGTACAGGTTCAATTCTTGTTGGTTATAGCACCAATAAAGTTCAAATTTCTACATATATCCAATATTATTACCGGATTCATGAAATATTTCTCATATTATGGAAATATAACGTTTTCTATTAATCATATCTACTACAGACAATGTGCACTACATTTTAATATATTGTATATGTTTTCTATTGTCTATGAATTTATATAGAAAACTATTATTGTCATTATTTGACGGCCTCGGTGGTCTAGCGGTTTAGTACACCGCTTTATTGATAGTCGCGGGTTTGATTCACACAGTGCAATCATTTGTATTCATGAATATGATTGTTTGTATTGGTCTAGGTGTTTTCTCTGTATATGAAATATGTATTGACAAAAAAAACTAAATATTTATATCAATTGTCTAGTAACCAGCTCTAGCACAAAGGTCTGCTTACGGTGAGACTAGATGGCGCTGTGTTAATCATCATGGGTCATTTATTTATTATTCTTCTTTTATCTGCTTTTCTCTCGATACATATATTAAACACTATTTCTTCCTAAAAACCACCGTTTTTTATAATTATATTTACCAGCTTATAGACTTATAGCTGTGGTAAATTATATTAATCATTTTAATTGAAATACACAAACCTTCTCATAGAAATATGATTAAAAAAATCTTGTCCAACTTTTAGTTAACACGAAAAAGTTAAATATGAAAAGTTGATGAGCTTCAAAACATTTCTGGGCGAAACTTTTATACAAATCATTATAAAAGTTCTCGAACAGTTTTACAGAAAAAAAATAGATTTGTCATTTGAAATTTTGTAATTATTGCATGGTTACTTTAATTACACGTTATGATACTGGTAAGGGTTTATTAAAAAGTATTATAACTTCAGACTTTTTTTTTATATGATTATAAATCAGTTATATAAAACAGACAAAAGAAATATGTAAGAATTTATGTCAAATAAGATGTATTATTCATAATTGAGTTATTATTATTATTTTTCATGGTTGACTTTAATTACACGTTTGATGATACTTTGTATTCATGTATGATTGTTTGTATCGTTTATTAAAAATAATTACAAAACAAAAAATATTTAAGTATTATATTAGTTAACTTCAGACTTTTTTTATATTTAATAATAAATAAACTAGATTATAAATTTATAACAGTTATATAAAACAGACAGAAGAAATATATTTATGTAAGAATATTATATATAGTGTAGGAAATATAAGTGTATATTCAAATATTTAATTGAATTCAATTATTATATTATATAACAGTCTTATAAGACATTTGTATATGTTCATGAGCGAGTTTAAGGGTCTAGATAGTTTCTATGTATATTATTCATGAATTTACAAAAATGTATTCAAGTATTTGTGTGAGTTTTCTAGTACCCATAAGACAAGATCTGGTTAACTTGGGACTAAATGATGCTGTGTGCATTATTCAGGATTATTATTAGTACCTATTATAGATAAATTCTCAACCCGTTACGTAAGATAATTTTATTCTAGAATTCGAAAATACCTACATGATATAAACCTATACAATGATATTATCACATTATTACCTATATCCATAAAGCTTATTTTTTATACGTACATACATACATACATAACAGAAATAGGTATTAAACCATTAGATATTAGGATAGCATATTTAATAAGGTAGTTAAAAAATAACAATAGAGGAACCCTATTTTACATGTCAATCGTCTACTAAACCTGTATAGAAACTCAACAATGAAATGTAAGTCAACTAACGATACAAAATAATGTTTCAATCATACAGTACATCAATAAATAATAAGTAACTATATTACATACAATATCCAAAGTATTTATATGTTAATTATTACATTATTCAACGGCTCTATTATTCATCAACCATTTACAGACCAATCTAGTACTCATTTATCAAAATCATATCGAAAGCTATTTTATTTTATATAGAATGGGTCGTTAAACATTATTATCTGTACTATTGACTATTGTTCGTACTCTAAATAATAAATACTGTTAATATTATATACAATAATGAAACAAGAACTTACCTTTTTAAGTACATAAGTTTAATAATAAAGGAGCACGTATGTAACAATCACATCAATGTTTCATCAATAACACCACTGGGTTTCATTCGTTATTACAATGGATGTAATATAATATTCACTGTGAATGAAATAATAATATATTGCTATTTATTTTACATAAATATTTGTTGCAATAACCGTGTTTATGTTAGTAAAAACCGGCATTTTTCGCCGCAACCCGCGTGGAGTCAACGCAAAGTCGTACCATCGCTACGAACGATCGTAGCAGACTGCTACAAATTTACACAGACAACTGGAACTGTATATATACATATATATATATTTAATAATTGATTCCAGATTTGAAATATTTACTTTTTAAATCTTACAATATTTATTAAGGCTTAGTAATAATTTTATAATGCTCAAAGGTATTAAACTGAATGTGATATACAGCTAACGCCATCTATTGATTTTTTGGGAAGTGGTTGCTTGAAGGGTGAATTAAGGCAGTGAAATTACTGGATACTCTGCTGTTCAAGGAGGGTGCAGACGATTAGCTATGGTGATAAATACTCAGCTTTCAAGATTTTCATGTCACAGAGATCAGTAAAGCGTGATTAATGGCTGTAATAGTACTATTACATTGTAGTTTATTGATATACTTTTTTATGGATAATGATGAAAATCGTGATCCTGTAACATTAATTTAGCATTTATCTTTAAAATAATAAAACTGTTTTATTCGTAATTTTATTACAGTAATATAACTTACTATTCTGACGATAACAAAGTAATAATAACAATATAATAATATATTTTATGAGGGGTAAAAATAGCAATAATAATAATAATATAATGTCCGAATTTGATTATCAATAAATAAGGACGCAACGCTTCCAGTAGCGGTGGACAGGTTTCCAAACTGATTATTTGTCTCACACATATTAATGGCAACGGAATTAAACAAAATAATATAATTAATAAATATATTTTTTTTTTATACCACGTAGGTGATACAACAAGCAAACGGCCCATCTGATGGTAAACGGTTACCGTGGCCTATGGACGCCTGAAACACCAGGGGAGTCACATGCACGTTGCCGACCCTTAAGAAACCTTAATACACCCTTCTTGAAAAACCCCATGCTGTTGTCTCTTGAGAAAACTTCGACAGGTAGTTCATTCCACAATCTATGTTTACGCGGGAGGAAGCTCCTTTGAAACCGCACTGTCCGAGACCACTTAGGTTCCAGCGTGTGGGGATGAATTCCCTGTCTATGGCGAGCGGTGCGATGGTAAAAGGTAGCCGTTAAGTTACACTAGAATTCGGTTATGACAGTTACCAGAGAGAACACGTGGAAGTTGAGCTAAAAGGGCATATTGAAGCAAAGAACTTCTGTTACGACTAACACTATTCTTACATATCTTCTTGCATTACGGCACAATTGAATCGTTTTATCAAACTTTAAACTTAAAAGATGACAGTAACAAATATAATTCCCTAACTTTGGGGTAAGTTGAGCACCCTAGGGACATTAACGATATATGAACCAATTCCCGAGTTCAGCTTGAAGTATAGCACGTAACTTTTTCAATGTACGCTGTAGGTATTGAGAAAGTTTCGTCTTAGGTGTTTGTTTCCAAGATCAATGTAGTTCGTTTGAATTTTACAGAAATGGGCCGGCACCCGGCGCATTGCAGAAAACATACAAAAACATACATAAAAATGTTTTTTATGGATGATCTCTCTCTCTCTCTCTCTCTCTGTCTGGTCATTTCCCATTTCATTTGAGGTCGGCTCTCCTATCCCTGACAGGATCATCTGTCCTGGGTCATAGTCATTTATTTTCGTTTTCTTTAGGTCGGTATTGATTTTCTTTAGATTCGATTCCTTTCACGGTACAAATATTTGTATTATTTGTATAAGTATGATTGTTTGGTATCGATCTTGTATCTAGTCCCAAAATAAGCAGAGCTGGTATAGATACTAGAGAAGTGAGATAAATAATTAATTACATTTTTTTCGTAAATACATACATAAGTTATATAGAAAACATGTTAATATCCTGTGAGAATCGAAGCCTCGCCCATCGAAAGTTAGGTGTACAAAACCGCTACACGCGCTACACCACTGAGGCTGTCAAATACATTATGGGTGCCATTAAGGTATAACATATATAGGTTACAATATATACACGTGAATTAAACCCCAGAGAGAGTAGTATCTGTAGGCGTTGTGGTCTGTGGCAAACGCAGCAATTGACATGTCCACATTTTGCTGAGAATGTGCAAATTCAATGAACGAACATACAGTCTCCTCTGGGAATAACGTTGTTTAAACATACACTGACCGTATATTTAGTTCGTGTTATTCCATTTCAAAAGGATTTGAATAATGTTATTCCTCATTTATTCCTTCTATAAGTTGGTGTAAAAGACCAGTTTCATCTGACTTTATTATTTGATGATTATTACAATGATGACCATAAATACTTAACCTTATTACTCTATGGTTGCTGAAACAACAAAGTTTACTGTTTAGGTTACTATTATGTTATAGACCTTGAATTTTATATCCTAATTTATATTGTTTCGGATGAATAAATAAAAATTAAAAATAATTCAAGCAAATTCATACCGCACCATCTAGTCCCAAATTGGGAAGACCTCTTACAATGTGTACAAAATTACTTGTAGAAATAAAATACTTAAACTCAGAAATACATAGAAAATATCCAGACAAATCATACAAATATTTGTTTCTGCGAGAATCGAAGCCACGACCATCGGAATTAAGACAACGTTCTAAACCGCTGAACACCCGAATTTATGAGTATACACGTGTAAATCTATAGCAATTGCCTACGGGTTCAATATTTTACTTGCCGTTTCTATAAATTCAACAGTTGAAATTAATGGATCCGACTACAAGATTAATGTTCTCAATCGGCCCACTAGAAACTTTTATTTTATAAAAGTAAATAAAAGTGTAAGGGTTACGTCAGCGAAAACTATACGATGGGTCCATTCACGTACCGATTTCAAAATGGTCTCGAATGGCAAACTCGACGTTAGTCCACTAACGAATCTCTTTGTTACACCTGCTAAACATGAATATAGGAAGGAGATATGCCAGCAGTGGATTCGGTGAATAGCTTCAAGTTAGTGAGCTTGATCGATTGTAATACAGTGTTAAGGTTAGTTATACCGAACATGATTTAAACTCGAGTTATATGAAGCAAGACTAAATATTATCCTGCTTTATATAACTTGAGTTTATCTTGAGTTAACTTGGGTTTAACTTGAGTTGATCTTTATATAACTATCAATTATATTTTGGTAATAAGGATGATTCATTTAATCCTGACTTATGTGGATTCTCTTGTTCATCTAACCTTGCAATTATTCAATATTCGACTTATCATAAATTTATACTTAACGTAAATTAGACTTATCCAAAATTAAAAGTTTAATTCCTTTTAAAAAAAGTGTCTATTTATCTATGTATGTTATATTTACAAAAAGTTAACAAATTTTATTGTTCATTCTATATTTCATTTTCATTTATTTTTTAATTTAATTTTAAGTAATATGGACATTTTATCGTAAATATGGTCAATCAGTTAATATACACTGTTTACCATGATCGTATATATTACTACCGCAGTATAAAAACTCTATATTTTCTATTTTATTAATATCATTCTAATCACAGATATAATTAAACTCTGTTTAAAGTATAAAGTTTGAATAAAGTTTAAACTCCATTTGGTATAATGGACCTAGGTCCCTAATGTGTATTCTAGGCAGATGAAGCTTTGTTTGAATTCATAGGTAATGATTGTGTATTATACATTGTATCATATATGTATATATGTACATTTAGTTGTAATGTACATGTAATATTTCTTTTAATTTGAAATTACCTACAGTTACTCAATTTTATTTATTAAATAAAGAACAAAGCTACCAAATCAACTTCTATTTTATTTTTTTAATAGGATTATTTATTTTGAAACATAAGTTATTATCCATGGACTCCGCACTAAGCGAACCTGTATCGCGGAAGTCCACAAAAAAAATGCCAGATGTTAATAACTTTAGCGAGTAGAATAAATTTGAGATATCATAAAAGGCTGCAATAGACATACGAATGAAGATATTTTAGTTTGATTACATAAAAACATTCCAAATCAATTATACATTATTAGGTTTAGTATCCAACTAATATTATAAACGCGAAAGTTTGTCAGTATGGATGGATGATTTTCTTACTCTTTCACGTAAAAACTACTGACAGCATTTTGATGAAACTTTATAGTAATATAGCTTATACATCAGAATAACCCAGACTATAAATTTGGCGCCGGTAAAACTGCGGGAACAGCTAGTTATACATATACATAGTGTTATAAATCACACTTAACGAGGATTATAAAGATAAAATATTTCACTCATTATTTGTATATCCTTAAACCTTAATCCTTACTAATATTAATAAAAGTAGGAATATTTTTTACGCGGTTTAGTAGTTACAAAATTTCATGATGATCGGTTTAGTAGTTTTGCATTCACGCAAAACTACTAAACCGATCATCATGAAATTTTGTACACATGTTCTTGGAGGTATTAAAATGATATGTTCATATTTTACAATGCCTTTCATCTTTTGAAAAAAAAGCAAATATTTTGTATTCAATGTGAGTGAAGCCGCGAGTAAAAGCTAGTGTGTTATATTTGTTCTATATGTACAATGACTACCACTTTGCATCATCTAGGTTTGTTTCGAAACTCTAGTCGGGTAATAAAAATAGAAAAGTCGCATCCGAACATTTGTAGTTTCACGTTAGGTGTTAAAGTCTGAACGTGGCCATTATTTTAGGCTTTGCTGACCATCCCCTCGTTACCTCGTGAGATTTATAAAAAGGCCGCTTGAAGCCACGACCGAATTTTAGTCGCGCAAATAAAAGTACTGGTTTTACTCAGGTTTTATTGCAAATAGTTGAAATTCTTACCTAGCCGCAGAGGACCGTATATAGAATAGGTGTTTAAGGTATTTTAGAATTTCCTGTCCCAGTTGATAGCTTTGTGACCTAG